GGTTGGATAAGTTTCTGTGACCACATAATTGGAAAGACCCAAATAAACCATCTTTTGTTTGAATGGACGTAATTTACACAATCTAGTAAGAGAAAGGGTGAGTTCCCACAATCATAAATGACTCAACCCTATTCCAGCCTAGTGTACTCTAGTGTTTTGCAGCTCATCTCATCACTCCAGCCAGAATTACTGTTAAAGACAGATAGAGTAAGGATTTTTTTTTCCTTTTGGGGTCCATGGTACTAAATAACATCTCTAGAAATGGGTATGAATATATCTAGAAACAATCAGATCTGGATCAGGTAACACAGATGCTCCTGATCACCCAACACCTGGCAGAGCAACATGATTTTAAGTGCATTCCTGTTTATAGCAGTGTTTCTCAACCTCAGCAACTTGAAGGGGTGTGGACTTCAACGCCCAGAATTCCCCCATGGCTGGCTGGGGAATTCTGGGCATTGAAGCCCACCCCTCTTCAAGTTGCTGAGGTTGAGAAACACTGGTTTATAGAGTTTCCAGAGCCGTGTCTGACTTTGAACTGAGTTTAGGAATAGAATGTGGGGCTGATTCATAAAACATAATAGTGCACATGGAGTCCTATGCTCTTGGCCCTGCTATAATTCCAATGTCAAAATAGTGAATTATGCAGGCAAGAGATCCTGCAAAAAATTGAAAAGGAGAAAGGTATTCTTGGCATGAATCTTGATGGGGTTAACAAAGGAGAGGGGACTCCATTCATAGCCACTCAGGATTGAAAATTCCAAAATGTAACATTTTGGGAAAACCCTGAATAAATCAAAACCTGCCCCCAAAAAATCTCTCCAAAAGATATATCCTAGGCTTTCTCAGTGTCTGAAGAAAATATAGATGCTGAAGAACAAGATATAATCCAGGGACCAAAGTAGCTGTTAAAACAGTAGCATCTGTAAGTGTCTGATGCTGATCATGACATCTTCAGATGTAACTTGTTCATTATATACATTTGTCAAGGAAATAGGTACATAGCAATAAGAACAAGTTCAAGAATAGCTGTAATAGCCATGATATTTGCCTGAACAAAACTGAACTGCAGAGATTTATTCGAAACATTTTCACACACATCCAGTGAAATTGGAGATAAAATCCAGCGTTCTTTCTGTCCAGCTTTTGGAAAGTCGTCCAGACAAAGGTTTCCCCCACTCCAGAGATTTCATTATAGTCAGAATTGCTTGAGCTAAAAAGAGGATAAAGGAGGATTAGGGACTTTACCGGTTTCCTTACATTGCATTTTTTTGTTTTAGGCCATTGCAAAGATGGTGCGTATTGTACATATATTCATTTTTTTAATGTATAAAAAAAATAAATAAACGACATAAACGAAGTGGTGCCTAAGAATTTAAATAAATGACTGTCCAGGCTGAGGATTTATTTCCCTAATGTTGGTTAAGCAGGTAAATAATTCATCTGGGTTCCTTGTTTTTCCCCATGGCGTAGAAATAACTATTTGAAAGCTGCACCTGTCCCAAAAAAGGCAAGACTCGTTGCTAGATTTTTTAATCTGTCTTTTGCTCAGAGATTTTGGGGGGCGGGGGGGAAGATGGCGGCATCTCCCACTCGATAAAAAAAGAGAGAAACCGATTCGTCCAATGCAGAATCCGCTTGCTCAGTTTTCCTCTTTTGTCAGGCAGGAGAGCTTAATCATCTCTTTACTCGGATTGGCGGAGCCTGAGCCAATCGGAAAATTCGACCGCGTTCTTCCTCCAGTTGCCATACGCCCACCCCAATCGGCGCTCTCTCGGTCGCCTAAGTCAATCAATAGCCCGCGCGCGCCCAACGCCTGAGCGCGCATGCGCAGGAGCCGAGAAGCGGGCCAGACCTCTTCGTTTAAAAAAAAAAAACCTGCGAGGTGGCGCAGGCGCATTCCCGCGCGGGGCCTTAAAGGGAGACGTTATTATTATTTACTGTTAGCGAGAGGGAGAGGGGGGAAAAAAAGGGGGCTTTCTCCGTTGTGAAGTGAAGAAGAGGGGAAGGGAAGAAGGAAAGAAAAATAATAAAGCGCCCCTCTTGCGCACGCGCCGCTCCCAAGGGCGCGTGCGCAGCGCCAGCCCGCGCGCCCCCGACGCCGGAGCGCGCGGACCGAGGAGCCCGGAAGGGGGGCAGGCCTCTTCGTTTTAAAAAAAAAAACCTGCGGGGTGGCGCAGGCG